TTACTGATTGCGTAAAACAATTTGGGCCGTTAGATACTTTCAGTGCCTTTCCGTTTGAAAATTTTATGAAAGAATTAAAATCTATTTTAAGAAAATCTGAAAAACCATTGGAGCAAATTAGCAATCGCTATGCGGAAATGAGTTTTTGTAAAGTAAATTCTGACAATGTTAATATTTCAAAAATAAATGTAAAGAATCCACACGAGAGAGGACCGCTAATATCAGGTTGTTTTAATCCACAATTTTCGAAGATTGAATTTCCTCATTTTATTATTTCAGTCAAATCTCCTGATAATTGTTGTCTCATAGATAAAGATATCGTTTGTTTGGAAAATATCGCAACATCGAGTGAAGGCAATTATATTGCAGTAGGTCGTAAATTTAAGGTTGTCGAAGAACTTTATAATAATCCATGTAGTTCTGTTCATTTGGATATATTTAAAGTGAGTAAATTATCTGACATTCAAGTCTGGCCTTTACATAAAATTAGATCTAAATTTATAAAATTGCCATATAAAAATGAAAGATATTTCGCAGTAATACCGCTTATAAGCACCGCACATTTATAATATTTACATATTGCGCTCCGCTTTGTAATATCTTTTATAAATAAAAAATTAAAATAAATTGACAAAATTTAAATAAACTGACAAAATTGTGGTTGAGACAACAATTACATATACATAACAAATGCATATACATAACAATACACATATACACAAAACACATCTATATAAATTGATTTCTTTTTTTATTACAATATTACACGCAGAAGCTCTTTTTTAGAATCGCATTGGAAGATGTCGAATCAAGGCTTTGTCGTCGCAGAATTCCCGGATGGTATTCAAGTAATACCAAAAATTTGGTTGCAAAATAAAGATAAATGCAAATATCCCTCGCATTTTAAGACGGATATAAAAATCCGAAAAGCGGTAGAGAAACAGGAGATACCAAAGTTTGATTGGCCCGCATTAGAAGTTATAAGAATTTTTGGCGAATATTGTAAGTACTATATTTAAGTATAGGGTTTTACTGACTTTTATAAATATTTTACTTATTTATAATATTTAATGTTTATAATATTTTCAGCGTCCTTACAGAAGGCTTATGCGAAGGCAGAGAAAGCTTTATACACGTCAGATATGGACACGGAAAAGGAAGCAAAATATTACCGAAAACATAGAGCGAGAAAAATTTACTCTTCGTCGGAAAGCGAAGAAGAGTCTGGTGTAAATTTGCCACCTGCTCCATGTCCTCCTGCAAAACGTAACGTTATAAGCATTTTCATTGCGCGCGCCCGCGCGTGTGTGTGTATATACATACACACACACGCATTCAATGTATATATATTTTCTTCATTAAATATATGTATGTATATATATGTGTAAGAGATTTTACAACTCTCTTATATCTCTTATATTTAACATATTGTATTATATATTTTATACATATATTTACACATATATATTATACATATATTTTATTTTATATACACACATACACACGCACGCACGCACGCACGCAATATTCGTACAACGTCACCTTCGCATATGAAACTTTTTTATATGAGAATAAGCGTTCATGTTTGTCAGTATAATTACAATTAGCATTACTATACACATAATTGTATCTTTAATATATATATATTGTTTTACCGACCTAATTTGTCTAATTATAAGACGTCCTCGCGTTACTCGGGTAAAATATATTAATATATGTATAATCTGGAAAGATTTTTTTCGTAGAAACCGAAAATGGAGCGAGAAAATTTTTCGTATGCGAAAATGATGCTGCGCGATCCCTCTGATTGGTATATATTTTTAACTGTGTAAAAGTATATACCAATCTCACATACACACATACACGCACGCACGCACACGCACACACACACACACACACACAACACACAACACACAATTTTCGTTCAGCGTCATCTTCGTATACGAAAATTTTTCATAAGAGAATAAGCGTTCATGTTTGTCATCATTACAATTAGCATTACTATACAAATATTTGTATCTATATATTATTTTATCGACCTAATTTGTCTAATTATAAGATAATGTCCTCGCGTTACTCATCGGAAAAAAAATATATATATGTATAATCTGGGAACATTGTTTTTGTATTGAGACCGAAAATCAAGCGAGAAAAGTCTTCCTTTTGTAAATTCGGTATGTTATCTTTCTTTGTCATTCTAGGAGTTATGTAATAAAGGTCGCAAAAAAATTTATATATATATTGAAAATACACTTGTAGTAATTTTATATTAACATATTGTATTATATAATTATACTTTTATTTATAAACGTTATCAATAAAAATATATATTCTATTATAAAAAAATTGTCTACGTTAATTTTCATTAATTATTAGGAGATATTTATTTATCGAATTAATTTCTAAATTGTTGAATGTTTTTTAATCATTATTTATTTATTTGCGTACTTGTAACAGTAATTTTATTAAAAACTAGCTAATGTATTTTTTGCAAGATTTAAAGTCATTTCAAATTCAATACTTTCTATTTTTAATTAAAAAATTAAAAATTTTTTATATTTAATAATAAATTTTATAAATATTACAGTTTAATCTAAAAAGTTTTGATTCATACAATTTGTTAATCTTGCTATTACTATTGTATTATTATGTAAGTATATTTTTAAAAACTGTTTTAATAAATGTTACGTATATATAAGTTGAAAATTGAATAATATATATATAATTACAAATTTTTCAATATTTTTTAAAACATTCTCAGAAATAAGAATTTTAAATAAAACTTAATTTTTATTTTATTCAATGCAAGGATGTATAAATCTATCATATATCCATAATAGATGTCTAATGTACATCCATGATGAATTTGTAGACGATATCTATTGTGGAGATAGTATGGATATCTATTAGAAATCCATCTGTTGTCCACCGTGGAGGTAGAGGTCGCATGGAGGTATGGAGGTTATATGGACGTCCATTGGATGTTTTGTTCCGTGTGGGTATAGATTTCGTCTGAATTAATTTTTAATAATAAAACAATATATCTATTTATCTATGTATCTATTATTACTAATTATTATCTAACTATTATTAACTTTGTGACGACCCGTTTTGGTCGTCACTAGAAGCCGCGCAAGCGCGAGGCCGACCGTCCGCCCGCGCTCATATAAACGGCCCCTGTCGGGGCCACCACACGTCGAACACGTGGGAATTTGCCTTTTCGCCCCACCCGACCGAACCGACCCCACTCCAAGCTAGTTGGAGGGGGCTGACCGACGGGTATATAAAGCGGCGCAGCCGAGACTTCGAGACCAGTCCCGTCCTGGTCTCTTGAGCGTACTCAAGGACCACTCCTCACCTCCTAACCATCCCGGGCGACGAGCGTTCTCGGTCACCGGATCCTCTCCGAACATCACCCCGGTCGACGAGCGTTCTCGTCGGGCAGGCCGAGCATTCTCGGTCACCGGATCCTCTCCGAACAGCACCCCGGTCGACGAGCGTTCTCGTCGGGCAGGCCGAGCATTCTCGGTCTCCGAATCCTCTCCGAACATCACCCCGGTCGACGAGCGTTCTCGTCGGGTAGGCCGAGCATTCTCGGTCTCCGGATCCTCTCCGAACATCACCCCGGTCGACGAGCGTTCTCGTCGGGCAGGCCGAGCGTCCTCGGGCACCGGATCCACTCCGAACATCACCCCGGTCGACGAGCGTTCTCGTCGGGAAGGCCGAGTTTCCTCGGTCACCGGATCCTCCGAGAGCCACCGACATCTTGCGGAGCTCGCCCTTCTCAGGGCGCCCGAATCCAAGGCGGTTTACGGAGCTCGCCCTTTTCAGGGCGCTCGTATCCACGCCGCGTTGGGTAAATTTCGTCCGCCGCGCTACTATCTTAGTTATAAGTCGTGTCCGCGTCCGTATGATTTGGTCGCGTTTCACCCGTCGCGTTATTATTTGTAAACCTTGGTTATAAGTCGTGCCCGCGTCCGTATGATTTGGTCGCGTTTTCGTCCGTCGCGTTATTATTTGTAAACCTTAGTTATAAGTCGTGTCCATGTCCGTATGATTTGGTCACGCTTCGTCCGTTGCATTACTTGTATTCCTTAGTTATAAATCGTGTCCGCGTCCGTATAAGTTGGTCGCGGTCCGCACTTCCTGCGATTCCCCTCTGTACGCGTAGACTAGATAATAAGCCAACTCTTGAAGGGCGGCTTCAATAAACTCTGTTTTTACCAGAACGATTGGCGTGGTTATTGCGAACCTGAGTCTCCCCCTCTTCCCGAATCCTGGCACCGACGAACCGATCCGTGGCGTCGGGAAAGGAGCCCCGTTACATGGCGCCCGAACAGGGACCTGACTCGACCGTCTGAGACTCCGGTTCGCAATCCATATGCTTGGGTGGATTTACCACCTAGACAAAGAGAAAGCCGCCCGTTATCTTGCCGACCGCGACCTCGACCCGGAAGGGAGATTAGTCGACCTCCGCCGCCGCATCAGAAACCACGTGATGGCTACCCACGCCGACACCGGAGCGTCCGTAACACTCCAAGTACCCAGCCGCGAAGACCGTTACCGGAGTGCACGAAGAACCCCCGAACCACCCGAAGCCGACCCGGCGAAGGCCCTTAACCAGATACGCAAGTGGGGCTGCCATTTCGAGGGTAAAGACCCCCTCGCGTTCCTCGAGCATCTAGAGGAACTCAGTGTGGCCTATGGTCTGGAAGACCACCATCTCTTAATCGGGCTAGCCGAGCTGCTAAAAGGCGAGGCCCTCCTGTGGTGGAGGAACACCAGAGAACAGTGGTCCACCTGGACCGAATTCCGAAAAGATTTCCTCGCCCAATACCTGTCGCCCGGGTATAAGCGACAATTGCGGCGAGAAATACAAGGCCGGCGACAAAAGCCAGGGGAGGCTTTTACTCGATACGCCACCGCCGTGCAAACCATGATGCGTCGGGCCGGCGGTTACACCCGCAGGGACCAGCTCGAACAGCTGTACGAAAACGCTGACCCAGAGCTCCAGCTATACATTCGGCTAGACGAGCTGCACACCGTCTCCGAACTATGTAGCCGCGCCGCTGAGTGGGAGGAGATCCACCGGCGCCGTCAGGAACAACGTCGCGAGGTCTCCAGATCTACCGAGGCAAATCTCGCTGCAGCCACATATGACCGCTCGAACTGCTGCTGGCGGTGCAAGCAGCGAGGACACACCCGACTCGATTGCCGCCGCCCAGCACGAAAGTTCTGTTCACAGTGCGGGAAGGATGGCGTTCTAACACGGGACTGCCATCCTCCGGCGGGAAACGGCCAGCGGGTCGGAACCGAGGAGGCCACCGCCCGACCCGCGTCCAGTTAGAGTACACGCCACGGCCGCACCTATTAGTCCGGATCCGCCGACTCACCGCCTGGGCGCTTCTCGATTCCGGATCGGAGGTGTCCTTCATAAACGCCACCATGGCCGACCGCCTGTCCGAACACGGCCTCCAGATCCAGCCATCCGAAGAACCGGTCAACCTGGCCGACGGCTCCAGGGCATCCACCTCCGGCTCAGTCCGACTCGCCCTCCGGATCGGCCCTCGCTCTGTCCGCCACCGTTTCCAGGTCTTGGATAACCTTAGCAGCGAGGTCCTCATCGGGGTCGACCTGTGGGCTCGATTACGCCTCACCCTGCCGCCTCCGCCACCCGATCGGCCGAAAGAGACGGCCCCAATCTATTTGGCAACTATCCACGGCCGATTATCAGCCGGGATCTCTCCACGTTCGCCCGAAGAGGACCAGCGCTTCCGGCAGTTTCTGGACACCGAGCTTCGGTTATTCGAATCCGTGCGGGGACCCACCGACCGCGCCGAACACCGGATCAGACTACGACCCGGGGCCCCGATAAAACAGCGGTACCGACCGCGTAATCCAGCCATGCAAGCCGTCATCGATAGCGAGGTTAACAAGATGCTAGACGCCGGGGTGATCGAGCCCTCCGGCAGTGCCTGGAGTTCCCCCGTGGTCCTCGTAAAAAAGAAAGATGGGGGCCACCGGTTCTGCGTTGATTACCGCAAACTGAACCAAGCTTCTGATAAGGACGCCTACCCACTGCCGCACATCCTCGCTACGCTCGACAAGCTCCGTGGGGCCCAGTATCTATCTACATTGGACTTGAAAGACGGATATTGGCAGGTGCCACTAGACTCGGCCAGCCGCCCCGCCACCGCCTTTACGATTCCCGGGCGAGGACTCTATCAATTTAGAGTCATGCCCTTTGGGTTGCACTCAGCACCGGCCACGTTCCAGCGGTTGCTGGACAGCGTCCTCGGCCCAGAATTGGAGCCCAATGTATTGGTCTATCTCGACGACATCATCGTAGTCAGTCCTTCATTAGAGGCTCATATGGAACACCTGGCCGAAGTCTTCAGACGGCTACGACAAGCGCGCCTCCGCCTCAACCCACAGAAGTGCCACTTCTGTTGCAGTCGCCTTAAATACTTGGGGCATATAGTGGACAAAGACGGCATTCGAACTGACCCAGATAAGGTCAGTGCAGTGGCCGCCTGGACAACACCTACCACTGTCCGTCAAGTGCGCCAATTCCTTGGAGCCGCCTCCTGGTACCGTCGCTTTGTACCAGACTTTTCCGCCACCGCCGCACCATTGACACGCCTGACCCATAAAAGGGCACGCTTTACTTGGGGGCCGGAGGAAGAGAAGGCGTTCGACGAGCTGAAGCGGGCACTCACCACCGCGCCGGTTCTGGCCTGTCCCGACTTCAGCCGACCGTTTACCCTCCAGACCGACGCCAGCGCTTGCGGGCTCGGGGCTGTACTCACCCAAGAACTGCCCGAAGGCGAACGCGTCATTGCCTACGCCAGTCGCACCCTAAATAACGCCGAAAGAAACTACAGCGCTACAGAATTGGAGTGCCTGGCGGTGGTTTGGGGAATTCGCCGAATGCGCGACTATCTAGAGGGCTATCACTTCACGGTCGTCACCGATCACCAGTCGCTCCGATGGTTGCAACGTTTGGAGGCTCCCACCGGCCGCCTAGGGAGATGGGTGTTCGAGCTCCAGCAGTACGATTACGAGATTCAATATAGAAAAGGAAAACTGAACATCGTAGCCGACGCTCTCTCCCGTCAACCCGAGGCCTGTGTCCTCCAGACCGCCCCAGATTGTCGGTGGTACCGTCGCATGTATCGCGAGGTGCAACAACACCCGGCCGACCATGCGGACTACCGGCTATTTTGGCACTTGCTGCACGATCTCAACTTTCACGACTCGCCCAGTGAGGAGCAATGGAAGCAATGCGTCCCGAGGCCCCAACGCGCGGAAATACTACGCCGGCTACATGACGACCCGACCGCCGGACACTTCGGAATCACAAAGACCATCGCACGGGTGGCCCGCTTATATTATTGGCCAGGAATGTTCCGCGACGTCACTCGATACGTCCGTGACTGCCGGAACTGCGCCACCCATAAAGCCGCACAAACCCTGCCAGCCGGGAAACTTCGGGCCACCAATGTCACGCATCCGTGGCAACAAGTCTCGATTGACCTGGTCGGACCATTGCCACGGTCGACCAGTGGGCATACCTGGCTGCTAACCATGCAGGATCGGTTCTCAAAGTGGGTGGAGATGACACCACTCCGCCAGGCCACCGCCGCCAACGTCACACGAGAAGTCGCCGGGCGCATAATATATCGCCATGGTTGCCCGGACACCATCATCTCTGATAACGGGACTCAGTTGCGATCGCACCAGCTCGAAGGGTTGTTAAGATCCTTCGGGATCAATCACCAGACCGCTCCCGCCTACGCCCCACAGTGCAACCCGGTCGAGAGAGCCAACCGCACCATAAAAACTATGGTGGCGCAATACGTGGAGGGCCGGCACCGCCGCTGGGATGAGCACATCCCCCAGCTCCAGTTTGCTTTCAATACCGCGCGGCAAGAATCCACGGGATATACCCCGGCCTTCCTGATATACGGCCGAGAGCTACAGTCGCCGTACCCTGACAACCGACGTCCGGCAACCGCCAACGCCGCCCCCGGAGCAGTCCGACGCCGCCTCGAAGACGCCTACGAAATTGTCAGGATCAACCTGGCTCGCGCGTTCCAACACCAGCAGCGAAATTACGACTTGCGCAGGCGTGACTGGCGTCCAAAAATTGGGGACCGGGTGTGGAAGAAGGAACACCCGCTATCGAACAAAGAGCGGGGCTTTAATGCCAAGCTGGCACCAAGATTTGGTGGCCCGATGACGGTTGGCCGCATCATCTCCCCCGTCATCATGGACCTGAAGGACGACCGAGGTCGGTGGCACCGACATGTCCACGTCCGAGATTTGAAGCCAGCCTCAGAACCGCCGCCCGCGGACGAACCGTAGGAGGGCACTCTTCATGGCCCGCGCTCTTCCGCTACACGTTCGCGATTCCCCGACCGAGCACCGAGAGCGGCACTCTTCAGGGTCCGCGCTTTCTTTTCGTGTGGCTGTCCGGCCGAACACCGAGAGCGGCACTCGTCAGGGTCCGCGCTTTTTCGCTACACGTTCGCGAGCTCCCGACCGAACACCGAGAGCGGCACTCGTCAGGGTCCGCGCTTTTTCGCTACACGTTCGCGATTTCCCGACCGAGCACCGAGAGCGGCACTCTTCATGGTCCGCGCTTTTTTTTCGTGTGGCTGTCCGGCCGAACACCGAGAGCGGCACTCTCCACGGTCCGCGCTATACTCCGGAGAGGTATAAAAGACGGGCGCTCTCAGCCCCGAGTCTATCCTCGCCACGATGGGAAGCACAAAAACTGACCAGTGTCAAGGAGACCAACCGTCCGATTCCGGGCGAGACAATCCGTCCGTTTCCGGACGAAACAACCCGTCCGTTTCCGGACGAAACAACCCGTCCGTTTCCGGACGAAACAACCCGTCCGTCTCCGGACGAACCGACCGGCCGGTGCCTCGGGTGGGGACCTACATCCAACGGTCCGACGTGGAACAACGGAGCCGGAAAATGGCGTTTCTCGCAATACCCCCGCCACCTCCGAGCCACCGCCGACGACCACCGGTCCTCTCGGACTCGCCAGCCTCCGCCGTCATCACCATCGCCGCCGCCACCAAGCCTACAACGACACCGACCGACGCACGCCGCCCAGCCCGACCACCATCACGACCAACACATCGATCAACGCATCATGCCACCGCGCGCCAACCGGCGCCCTCCACGGCCGGGTTAACGGCCACCGTGCGGCGACCGATGCCTCCTGGAGCGGGAGGCCAGCCAGCATTGAGCACCGCCGGGCGACCAGCTACAAAGTCGCGCCAACCCCCGACCGGCACACCTCGGTCGGCGCCATCAGACGCCGCGTGCCGATCGACCACGCGTCCACCGGCACCCTCCACCGCCGTGCCGCCGACCGTCGCGTTATTATTTGCAAACCTTGGTTATAAGTCGTGTCCGCGTCCGTATGATTTGGTCGCGTTTTCGTCCGTCGCGTTATTATTTGTAAACCTTAGTTATAAGTCGTGTCCATGTCCGTATGATTTGGTCACGCTTCGTCCGTTGCATTACTTGTATTCCTTAGTTATAAATCGTGTCCGCGTCCGTATAAGTTGGTCGCGGTCCGCACTTCCTGCGATTCCCCTCTGTACGCGTAGACTAGATAATAAGCCAACTCTTGAAGGGCGGCTTCAATAAACTCTGTTTTTACCAGAACGATTGGCGTGGTTATTGCGAACCTGAGTCTCCCCCTCTTCCCGAATCCTGGCACCGACGAGCCGATCCGTGGCGTCGGGAAAGGAGCCCCGTTACAACTTACAATTATTTTTATAATATAGTATATTTTTATATTATAGTTAATACAAACTTACCTCTGGAGGTTCCATACTTTCGAATATATGTCCATATGCATATAACTATTTAGCGCTTTTACTGCTTTGCTGTTCAACAGGATGAACTTCAAACAGCAAAAACTTGCGCCGGAAGTACGTCATCGAATCTAGTTACTTTCCAGAATGCTGCTGCTTTTCACTGCTCATGAAATGTTACCTTTATTAAGGGTATGTTCCAAAATTCACTGCCAGTGCCGTGAGCGTGACGTCATAAAAGTATGCTATCAACAGCGTTTTATGTTTGTGAGCGTGCTGTAAATGCGTATACGATGTCTAAAATGGAACATTACTTTCAGTGCTGGCAGTGAACACAAAAGTAAACAACAGATTAATCTATAAAATGGAGAGAAATGATCAGAAAATATTTTTGATTGCAACAAATATAAATTTAATAGCTGAATCTGATGAATCATCAAACGATGATTCAGATTCGGCAGAAGTATTAAATTTATTAGTGAAAAATAATGTAAAACGTGTACCTAAAGTACGGTGCCAAAATTATGTTGAAAATGTAGTGTGGCATTATACTGGCAATGTTTTTAAAAGCCATTTTCGGTAAGTTATTTATTTAATAAAAATAAATTATTATTAATTGCTTGTTATTATTAATTTATGCAATAAACAATAGATAAAATATTTTTACTATGTTTTTTATTAATTAATAATAACAAATAATAATTCATAATAAACTATATAACGTTTAATTTAAATAGAAAATGTTATATTTTAATGTTTTTCCATAGCCTTAGTCGACCAACATTTACTTTTTTATTGGAGCTGTTAACTCCGCAATTATTGAAACAGTCTGAAGAATGTGGGAGGCATACTATTCCACCAGAGAAGACATTACTCTTGGCAATATGGATGATGGCAACTCCCAATTCGTATAGGTAAGTTTTATTGAATGACATTAGCATTTAATTTATAACATTTATAATTTATATTAATATTTAGCATTTATTTATTAACTCTATAGATGTGTTGCTGATTGATTCAATGTCGGAAAAGCAACGGCTTGGAGATGTGTTCACAAAGTTGTGAATGCATTATATTCACATCTTCATACATTCATTACATGGCCAGACAGAGTAAGAGCAGAAAATATTTGGACACATGTTAAAAACAAATACAAATTTCCAAAAGTGATAGGAGCGATAGACGGTACTCATATAAAAATTGCAGCACCGAAATTACATCCAGAAGTTTACATAAATAGAAAAGGCTATCACTCTATACAGACACAGGTATTTTTGTAAAAATGTTAAATTATATTTTTTTATGAATAAAAATTCTGCAGACATATGTAATAATAATATTATTTCCTCTTTTTTTTAGATAATATGTGATAATGAATTAAAAATCACTTATGTTTATGCAGGACAAGTAGGGTCAGTGCATGACATGAGAGTTTTTAGATTATCTGGCTTTGAAGACATGTGTACCGCAGAAAACTTCCCAGAGAATAGCCATTTATTAGGTGATGCCGCATACGGCATCCAAAAATATATAATGGTTCCGTTTAAAGATAATGGACATTTAACAGATGCACAAGTAAAATATTATATAATACTTGTTTGTCTGAAGCGAGAATGATGGTAGAAAGAACAATAGGCTTGTTAAAAGGAAGATTTCGAAGTCTTTTGGATATATTACCTATGAGAAGAACTGATTTGATACCTAAATATATTTGTGCTTGTTGTGTTTTACATAATATTTGCTTAATACGAAATGATTACATTGATGATATTCCAATTATTGTACAGCCAAATGAACCTGTACAATATGAAATCGAAAATATACCTCAAATTATACGAGAAGAAGGTATTGAGAAACGTAACGCTATTGTATATCATTTGCAAAATGAAAATTATTTTGAATAAAGTTGTATGAAGTTATAAAACATTTTTTTTCTTATATTATCTTTATATTTTTAGATCCTTATACCATATAATATACAATTAAAAAATAGATAAGATTATGTATATATTTACACACACATGCATACAATCATAAGGAAGCTGAGTAAAAAGCTTTTGCACAATAAAAAATAACAGGAACAAGGAATAACATAGGAAAGCAAGAGAGTACTTTCCTACGTTCTTTCCGTGATCCTATTTCTATTATTTTTAAATAATACTAGAGCTTTTACAATACATATACTATAGATAAATGCACGCATAAATACTTTACGGGATCTATCCACATACACAATTAATTTACATACACAATTTAATTTGTATGTACAATAAACTTTATTAAAGAAACTATCACAATTTTTTTTACATTATTTAAAATAAAATTAAACTCATCATAATTTTATATTAAAGTGACATAACAGTCTTATATGCACATAACAGTCTTATATATTTTAAGAATACACATAACAGTCTTATATATTTTTATAAGAACCAATAAAATATTAATTATATAAAAGTTATTACTTTTTAAGTATTTCTGTTATTAAATTTTCAATACTTGTTAGACGAGTCATTTTTTCTTCATGTCTTTTTTTAGCATTTATCTCTTTTTCTGCTTTCATTTCTAAAGATTTTTCTAAATAATCTTCTACTGCGTTTTGAATTTTTCGTTTCTTTGGCAATGCAAATAAAAAAATAATTAAGAAATTAATAAATAGAAAAAATTAAAAAATGCATGTACTACAAAATATTTTAATAGAAAATATAAAACAAAAATGTATATATAAGTGCAAATATTTTATTTATTTTTCTTTATATATTTTAGATGTAATGTAATTATGTGTTTACCTGATTTTATTGCGTCATTGTTCTCTGTATTATTTGTAGTATCATTAATATTAGCAGAAGTATTAACGCTACTTCCAGCTGTAACTATTGGTTCAACCCAAGGTTTTGCAACGTCTTTTCCTGTGCCGAAACGCCAAGTTCGGACAGGGGAGCGTTCAATTTAAAGATTGTCCAAGTTTAACTAATAAAACGATAAAAATCGGTATCAGAAGAGTTAATTATTCGCACTTAGGGGCGTTCATTAACTCACGGTAAAGTTGGGCGCCAGGCGCATGTGAATGTAAAAAAACTTAGCACTGCGTAATTAAACAAACAATATGTCAAAATTAATGTATTTCTTTGCTTGAATGTCCTTCAATTAAAGTTTAGCGGTGCTACGTTTTTAATTTTTTAATTTAAAAATAAATTTTTATTTTTTTATTTTTTTTAATTTTTAATTTCTATATATTTTTTTTTATTTTTTTATTTTTTAATTATTGCAAATTTTTAATATTATTTTTTGTAGGATGTTGGAAATTAAAAAATTATTTTATATAACTTTCTTGGTTAATTAAAAAATAAAATTAAAATTAAATCGTAGTAAGTCAAGGCTCTTATTAAATTCTAATAAATTTGATAAAAGGTCGTTAAGAGCAGTAAAAATAAAAAAATTTTAATTATGTTAGACAGAAAGTCATATATAAAAATAGTATTCTTTAATATAATGTTTACTAATAAATTACAATAAAAGGTGACAAAAAAGAATTAAACATAAGTACTCTTTAAATACAAATATAAAGCGAACGTTTCGGTCAATATTTTGACCATTATCAACGCTGATTAAATTTTGAATTTAATAAATAATAAACGGTGTCATAACGGTAATATATAAATCAAGTATAGTAAAAAACGTCATAAAGTATGTAACGCATTAAAATACAATAATGATTAACAATTATTATCGTAAGAAAGAAAGAGAACATGATGTAAAAATGCAGAAAAGCGATATTCCTCCAACATAGTAATAATGTAATGGTTCAAAATCTTAAATTGTGTTTCTACTCCGGTTATTAGACCCGATAGACACATAATGATTTGGATCCTATAATATTATTCGATATTTATTGATTTATTTAAGCTTAATAGGTTGTACGAAAATTAAGAAGTTTGTAGACTTTACATATGATTAGATTGCACCGTAAAAGCAGTAGTGTAGGAGGAACATCGATTCTTGAGGTCCGCACACTTATAATGTCACAGACAAAGTGATCGAAAGGTGAAAAATGAGCGGTGTTAACTTATATTTGTGTATCTATTTTCAGAGTTTCGGTAGTTTGTCAATACTGTCTAAATATGTGTCAGGTCATTATGTGTCCGTTTGCAAGTTCAAACTATTTGTTTGTTTTTTAATGTAAATCATCTCGGAGATTAATCTTTTTCCGAGGAAACTTTCTTTATCAAGAATTTTTACTTCATTCCATTTAAATTCGTGGTTGAAATCGAGCCTATGGTTAGTTATAACAGATTTATTTATTGTATTTTTATTAATGTCAAGTTTATGTTCCGAAATCCTAGTACTTAATTTACGTCCCGTTTGGCCCACATATGATGCATTACAGTCAGCACATTTAATTCTATAAACAACATTGGTATTGGAAAAAATTGGAACTTTATCTTTATGTACTTTAATGTGTTTGCTTAACTTATTTAAACTAAAGTAAGAGAGTTTCGTATTAAGATTCTTTGTGATATTTTTAAATTGTTCAGATATGGTTGGTAGATATGGAATGGTAAAATAAGAATTAGGTGATTTTAGAGTAGAAATACTATTGTTAATGTTGTTGTTTTTATTAATCAGTAATTTTAAACGATGGTTTATGGTTTGAAAAATTAATTTAGTAGGGTAGCCATTATTAATTAATATATCAATTATCAGCTTTAAGTTCTTGGTATGGAAAATTGGATGCGATAATAAAAATGCTTTGTTAACCAATCCAATTATTGTTCCTCTTTTTTGACAAGGAGGATGTTGTGAAAAGTAATGTAAATATCTACCAGAGAAAGTTGATTTATGGTACCAATCAGTCTTAATAGAATTATTTTCTAAAATGAGCGTGACATCGAGAAAGTCCAGGCTATTATTATTGTTATATTCCAATGTAAACTGAATTCTATTGTGAAAAGAGTTAAAAATGTCTAAAGTTTGTTGAATTTGATGAGATGGAACAGCACATATAACGTCATCTACGTATCTAAAATAAATAGGTGGTGTAAATGTTAAAAAATTGAGCGCTTGTTTTTCAATGTTCTGAAGTACTATGTCTGCTATAATAGGTGAAAGTGGCGATCCCATAGGAGTGCCATACGATTGTCGGTAAAAACTATTGTTAAAAGTGAAAAATGATGAATTTAAAACTAAGTTTAATCCTGTCATAAATTCTGATTTCGGAATGTCGCAATTCTCAGCCAAATATTGCCATCTATCAGAGACACTTTTTAATGCCAGTTCGATTGGAATATTCGTAAAAAGAGAAACAACATCTAAAGATATTAGTTTAAAATCATTGTCAATATTAAGATCTTTAATTTTGTTGACCAGTTCGTAGCTATTTTCTATATGGCTGTTAGCTTTTGGAAAGCTGTTTTTCATAATTTTATGTAGAAATAGAGCGAGATAGTAGAGTGGACTATTAATTGAGGAGACTATAATTCTGAATAGACAATTATTTTTATGGATCTTCGGGAGACCGTATGCTCTTGCAAGAATGCCGTCAGTAAATAGTAGAGATTTATAAGTTTGTACAGAAATGTATTTTTTATTTTTCCATTTAAGTAATAGGTCTCGTAGGCTAGTGGTTAATTTTTTAGTCGGATCTTTATTAACAAAACGTATGTGCTGTCATCTTGTAGCATGTTTTTTATTTTATTTATGTATTCATTTTTGTCTAAAGCGACAGTGACATTACCTTTATCAGCTCTGGTCAAAATGAGATTTGGGTTTTCTTTCAAAACTTGTTAGTTATCGAATTTAATTTTATTAAAATGTTATTGTTGTTATTACGCGGATAAGAATAATTAGGAATAGAGTTGAAAACTTGTGTAGCTCTATTTCTGATAGTAATGCGTTTGTCAATAGGAAGTTTCTTTAAATTATATTCTAAAGAGTGACCCAAAAAAAGGTGGTTTTTTCGCCCCTTTTTGGTCCCTCGATTTTGAGATTGAACTGTGTGCCAAATGTTACCTTATAATGAGACATTAATCACAGAGAAGTTTCAAGTTGAGGTGACAACTATTATCAGAGGTAGGGGGGGGGGTCAAAGTTCACTGACGTACTATCTTTTTTGCTTCGAAGCAATTCAACTCAAGAATTTCAAGCGAAGTGGATAAGTGTAAAGAGCTTATCCCCTAGTATACATAATATATATGTTATTGTAATTTTGAAACTTAGCAGCGCTCCCAGTTTATTTAACTAAAATTTTATTTCTTTTTTACATGGCGCATGGACTTGGCATCTTGTTTATCTTTTTTTTTAAAAGATAAGTTTTTTTATGGTACGATTCTACATTTGCAAATTTAAATTTTTACTGATTCATTATACGACTCTATATATGTCTGCAACTTTAATTTTCCACTGGTACAAGTTTCTACTTTCACTTGGCGCAATTTTTTTTTATTTCATTACTTTTGTTACGATTGTACATGAATTTATAATCGATAATTTTTCATACAATTCTATTGTACATGGGTTTGCAATGTAGGATTCTACATAAGTTTGCAATGGATAATTTTTAATACAATTCTACATGGGTTTGCAATGGTTAATTTTTCATAGGATTCTACATGAGTTTGCAATGGTTAATTTTTCATAGGATTCTACATAGGTTTGCAATGGGTACGATTCTACATGGGTTTGCAATGGTTAATTTTGCCTAGGATTCTACATGGGTTTGCAATGATTAATTTTTCATAGGATTCTACATGGGTTTGCAATAGGATAGGATTCTACATGGGTTTGCAATGGATAATTTTTGTTAATGGCGTGCCCTTAACTGGTCGCCTTTTTTTACCTTTTTTTAAAGGTGAGTTTTTAGAGATTATATCATTCATTTTTGTATATTTTTATGACCGGAATAGAACAATTATTAAACATGTTTATCTAAACTTCTTTGCTTAAAATGATGTGTACAATCATATCCTAGAATCCTGATCATTCCTCCTAAAGCACCCTATTTATATAAATTTACCCATATGTGTGTGTGTGTGTGTGTGTACTAATGTCGAGCATTTTTTATACATTTTCTATTAAATTTAGATAAAAGTTGCAGGATTTCGAAAAAGAAAAAGTTGACACAGACTTTTTCCTAAACGGCGATTTTCAAGGTTATTTAAAGGTCACTTATATTTTCAAAATAGAATTACCTTAATTTTTCTCATATAAATCGATTCCTCGCAATATTTACTATAAAAAGTTGTAAAGGTATAATTTTTACATAATCTTACATAAACTTCGAAATATTACAAATATTTTATTCTATGAAATATTTCAGTTTATGTAAAATTATGTTAACTATCTTTTAAATTATTCACTTTTAGCCATCTTACCCTTACAACCTTTTATAGTGAATATTGCAACAAATTGGTTTATATATATAATATATATATAACATCAGTTATTATTAATTGATGTTTACATTTATTTTTAGACTTACTAGAGCTCTAATGCTCCACATTTTTTGCAAAAACTGTTTATTCTACAGATTTCAAATATGCTTTTAAATGATGATTGAATATTTCCTTTTTTTAATTATTTTTATTATTATTTTTCAATCTCAATCAACTTTTATAACTTTATGCCAGCACGATACAAATACATGTGTCTTTATTTTTTTTATTATTTTCATTATTATTTTTCAATCTCAATCAACTTCTATAACCTTATGCCAGCAGGATACAAATACATGTATGTCTTTATTATTGTATCAACTCTTGTCTTTTCCATGTAACCATGTCTTCATAGTTTGAATTATCCCTTCATCTTCTCAATCTTTCGCAGAGATTTAATTAATTAAATACACTTCACACGAAATAAAGTTTGCTGGAAGATATACAGCAAACGATAACTGTAAAAACATGATTACGTGGAAAGAACAAGAGTTGGTACAGTAAAGGCAAGTAAGTAAGTACATGTAATGTATCGTATTGGCATAACGCTATATCCGCGGAGCAGATAATGTGGCTGTAGAGGTAGTCTGCAGTGCAGCTAATGTGGACGTAGATGTTGATTGAGATAATTGTCTAATATAAAATAGAATTTAAAAATTTAGTTTAAAAAGCTGTTGCATATATAAATAAAGTTTATTTTTTCTAAATTTGGAATATGTTTAATTAATTAATTTTTTAAGTTATGTTTAATAAATTTTTTAAGTCTGTATTCAATAATTTTATTCATTTGATAAATACATGTATGTCTTTATTTTGATATGTTTAATATAATTAGAAATTCATTATTAATTAGATATGTAAACTATAAATTCATATATAATATTTGAAAATATATGTGAATATTTAAATTTTTATCTTCTCCTTCCTCTCCTTCAATCTCTTTAATATCAATATGTGTATGTGTGTACACGCGCGCACATTTGTACGTATTTATTTAATTATTGGATAGTTGAGAGTACTTAATTGATAAAAAATTATGACAATAATAATCCTTGTTTTTTTTTCTTATTATTTACTCAGATTTTTTTGTCTATCTTATAAGATAAACACTTTAGAGATTGAATATTTCAAGTAAACTAATTGTAAGTAAATTTCACATTAATGCATATAGATGTTTAATCATGAATGTACTGAATAAGTACACAAGACGAACAGTGAGTGAGTGAGTGAGAATGAGAGAGTGTGTGTGTGTGTGCGTGTGTGTGTGAGAAGAGAGAGAGAGAGAGAGAGAGAGAGAGAGAGAGAGAGAGAGAGAGAGAGAGAGAGAGAGAGAGTTAGCCAACATAACCCCGCACGCTGCCGATCATGAATGTACTAAATAAGTACACAAGACGAACAGTGAGTGAGTGAGTGAGAATGAGAGAGTGTGTGTGTGTGTGCGTGTGCGTGTGAGAAAGAGAGAGAGAGAGAGAGAGAGAGAGAGAGAGAGAGAGAGAGAGAGAGAGTTAGCCAACATAACCCCGCACGCTGCCGATATGGCGGAGCGCCACTATCGCCATCTGTTGTAAAACGTGCGAGATGGACAAAATTACCACTACATGCATCTTGCATGTGTTGTGTACGTGTGATATATGTGTGCGCATGTGTTGTATACGTGTGAATACGTGTAGCACGATACTACTATGTATGCGTGGTCGATGATGATAATGATGATAATGATGATGATAATGATGACGGGGACGTTTCTTAATAGAAATTTTTCATATTTCGACTTTGCATTTATATATCTCTGCTTACAAATCACGTAGAGCAGAAATAAAGACACTTTTATTATATAATTCGAACTCAATCTATCGATTAAGTCTAGTATAAACTCGATTGCTTCAGCCATTATTGAGGATTCGAAATATTATAAAGACTCAAATGTCCGACTCGCGTTAAGATACACGGTGTCTCCGCTACGCCCTTAACTGGTCGCGAGACACTACCGTGTCTCTTGATGAATAATGAACATCTACTAGAGATGATATAGATGATTTATGGATGTTTCTAAAATATTTCTAGCTTAATTATTAAAGAAGACGATTGGAAACACACACAAAAATGCAGAAATTGTAAAAAATTTTTTCTGTTTTTATTGTAAAATTAATAATAATCGCATATACAAATAAAAAATATACAATTAATATAAATAAAAAATATTTTGCAATAACGCACGAATATATTAATAAAAACTTAATAAAAGAAATTTTTACTGAATTTGCAATTAAATATTTAATAAAATAAAATACGTTGAACTCTGAAAACTATTTGACTTATTATATACTATTATAATTAATGTAAATGTATATGGACTGTCCATCTGAAACATACATAAAATTTATTAATAATACGTTTTATTACCGCTTACATCTTTGTGTGTCATCGAGGCAATGTGAAAATTTTATTTACGTGCAATAGCCTTAGGGCCTGAGGGCCATTACACGTGAACAAAATTTTAGCATTGAATTCATGACACACATGTTAAATTTTTATTTATTTTATTTTTTTAAAAGTCTCAGATCTGCATATATAAGTTATTTGAAACTTGTATATTGCGTTTCATCATTGACTTCCATAAAAATAACCTGAAAATAAACTGGATGTATTATTATTGCACATAAACAAAAATAGTGACAACAAATTAAAATTATCAAGCTATGTGGTATTAAATAAAATATATTTTTTACTATTTTATAATAATGTACTTTTTCTTTTATATATTATTAATTTTATAGATCTTTTATAGATTTTACTCTATTATAGATTATTAAGATCTTTGATAGATTATATTAATTTGAATTTTCCATTGATGAATGGCGATCGGGTGAACCATTGTTTTCGTCTCTAACGGTCCGCTTTTTTTCATTATTGTGTCTTGCCTTGGAATGCCTAAACCACTCCATGACTCTTCGTTGTATTTTTGTTCGATCAGAATCCGAGATATTGTGAAGTATGGATCCTGAAAATATTTAATGTTTAATTTTCGAGATATTTCACCGTTCGATACTTTTTATACACTCTGTATATATATATTCAAAGGCATTTTTGTTTATAAATTAATTATTTATAAACAACGTATAAACTTACTGAAAATAACTTTTATTAACTCTAAATTTTGTAATGGATATTTTCCACGTCGGCCTTCCCAATTGTAATTTTCCGCTAATTTATTTGAGAATACTTTATAAAGTGTCCTCTTTACCGCATCATCGACGCCTGTTCCACCAATTGCTTGTATATATGCGCGCTATAATAAGAATAAAAGTAATATTATTATTAAAGTTAATAACGATCTCTTTTTCTTAACAGTAATTTCCAATTATTTTTCATAATACATTTTATTGTGAATTGAAACGTTTACTGAAAATTGATTATGCAATAAACTTATAAATTTGATAATAATTGGAAATATATTATATATAGGGTAAACCATTTATAATGTTAATGACAAAAATATCTTGTAACATATGCATTCAATTAAGAAAAAGATTTTAGACAAAAGTTGCAAGTACCAAGGGGGACATATATGATACCATACCAGTTATTTTTTTGCTCTTTTGCTTTTTTATCGAAATATATGTAAAGGTCACTTTCGATTTTTTAAATGTTGTTGGGTATCCTCAATTAAAAAAATAAAAGTGACCTTTATATCTTGATAAAAAAAAGGCTAAGCAAAAACTATATGGTCCTATCATATGTCCCTCGTATTAAAACCATGACACTAATTATTGTTATATAAGACATTTCTTCATATGTATATTTTAGGATACATACACGGTCTATCCCAAAAGTTCCCGAAAGTTCGGGAACTTTTGGGACAGACCGTACATTTTACAAAATTTACAAAGTATCGTTAACGTTTATGAATGGTTCACCCTATGTATTCAGTTACTAAAATATATAGATATGTGCTAACTTACTATTTCAGTGTTCTCTTGGGAATTAGCAGTTTTTAAAATTTCCTCAATTTCCGTTAATTGGGCTCTAGTTTCTAAAGGAAATCGATTTTCAGCGCCTTCGTAAGAAAATCTCGTATTTTCACATTCTGTGCTTCTGTTGCTTTTGTCCACTAAAATATCCAATAGAGATAGTGCTTGTCTCATATCGTATTTTACAGTTGCTATTTCTCTAGTCAATCTCTTTAAATGATCCACTGTAAATAGCATTTTTAATTATTAATAAACGAATAAAATGTGTGTGTATATATATCATGTAAATTTCAAAAATCTACATTTTCCGTTTATTAGTAAAACTCTATTAGTATATCGAAATAATATATAGTTTTGTATACTATATATTATTATTTTATATACTATATAAAAGTTCATATGTGTTATTTCGGTATATAGATAGTAAATAGAGGTTTACTAATAAAAAGAACAAAATGTAGATTTTTGAAATTTATACTACACACACACACACACCAGTAACGTATTATTGTATGCATATAAATGTATGTAATATATATATATATATATATATATATATATAAAACATGAATTAAAGTTGCATTACACATGTTGATTTATCAAGAAATACAGCAGACAAGACGATGTATTATTTTGATATATGTATATAATTATTTTAACAATAAAAAGAATATATATAAAATGTTGCTTTTCGAAATTATTTGAAATTAATAGTTTTAATTTTTTTTTAAATCAATAGTTTTGTACAATATTAAAATATGTATAAATTATAATTATTTTTTTTTCATTTTTTTCAAATACACACACACACACAAAGTTAAATACCCAGATAGCACAAGATATTCGAAAAGAATTCATTTATATGTCATCAATTTTGAGTCCTTTTTCAAATGCATATAAAATTCATTTTGAAAAAAATGAATTCTATACATATATGTATAACTATGCATAAAATTTAAACAATTAATTGTAGTGAAACATTACATATAATAGATGCTTTGAAACTATACAATACATGTATACATATATATATATATATATATATATATATATATATGTATATATGTATATATACTATTCAAAATTATTTTATATTCCTATGATTACATATTATTGAATAATGATATTAGAGTTCTAATAGCATCATCCAATATAACCATGCATAGAATGCTATATATAAAGTGTCAAAAATATGTCAATAAAAACATTTCTGTGATTAAATATTTATATACTTACTTATGATACATATAGTAATGCGAAGATTTTTAAAGGCATTTTTCAATTTTGCACCAGCCCAACTATATTCCATTGCTAATTTATTTGTTAAAATATGTTTCATCATGTACGAAATCACATCATGATAATCCTTACCTCCTAAAAAGCTCAATTGTCTTGTCTAAAATATAAAATAATTTAATTAATATTAGTTTATGATCTAAAAATATCAAAATAATAAACATTTGTTTTTCTCTTATAAAAAAAGTTAACATTACTTTTCTTTTAACTTCTTTAAAATTATTTAACATTATATAAATAAATAAATATGTCCAAAATATTGCTTTTTATAAGACATTTCAATAAAATGTTTCTAATCGTAAGTATAAAATGATAATATTTTGTATATACCATTTCTGCAGCAACACATTTGTTTTTTAATTGATTATCAATTCTCTGTAATTGTTCTACGGTATCTGCTGGCAAATCGAAATCATAATGTTCATTTTTTTTTAAATCCGTTTCCTCATTTTTTCTTATGTGATTATCTAACTTTATTAAACGTTCATCAATTGTTGTAAGATTTAACAATACTGCATTTAGTTTCCTGATAATTAAATTATGAAAATCTGCAAAAATAATTGACACATATTATTGTATATGTACTCATTGTCAGATTATATAAATATTACGAATTATATACCATTTTAATCATTTTAACCATTTTAATAGAATATGTGTGAAGCAATACAAAAGAAGCAAAAAAATTACCCAAAATGACCGAACTTATTGCTAGATTTTTGAAGGATTTCTTTCCTTTAGCTCCTTCCCAGGAGTATAGTATTCCAACTTCATTTGTGAAGATTTTGTACATAATTCTTCTTGTGATCTCTTTAACATTTAAGCCCCCAACGCGACTTAATTCAATAATCTGAAATAATTAAAATTGTTACAAAAGTATTAATAAGTATTAATTATCACTATATATATGCATTCGATTTTTTAATTATTCAAGGTCATACCAAATCTTTTTTATTTTGATCATCTGCATTAAGCCACTGCTCTAATTCAGCTAATGTATTTTCATTTTTTATTGGAAACAGATGGACAACACGTGGAATGTCTTTGACGGTTATCGTAGGCTCATCTTGAATTCTTTTGTTTTTTTAATAAAAGAGCCGTACTTTCCATTACATCATTCAATTTCAAGTGTATAGCATTTAGTTCTTTTAATACTTGCTTCTGGAAATCTAAAATTTTTAAACTAATTGAATTATAAAAAGATTATTACTGACTAATCATTTGTGACTAAAAAAGACTATTATTGTTTATTACTAGAATTATATTACACAATTACTACAATGGAATTTAGAGGATCACAAAAAGAGGTAAAATCTTTTGGAAACAATCAACCGTCACATGGAGTACAGACAAAAGTAAATATTTTAATCTTTTTTTTCAGCAAAGCATAAAACTTTTTTGATAACGATTGTAGAAAAAAATACTATTTTTTATGTTTTGAATGTAAAGTGACTTTTGTGCTTCATGTTTGCAGTGCCTGTCTTAAGGGGATCCTAAATGCACGGGCGAACTCCGATAGGGTCGATAATGAAGATTTTTTAAATATAATTATCGACAAAACTCGACAGATGTCGCAATAAAAAAGTTGTCAATCGACACACACATACATATACAGGGTGTCCCATTTTATATAATTTATAATTATATAAAAATTATATATACACAGGTTGTTACACATACATATACACATATGTATGCGTGTGTGTATTTATACAAGGTGTCCCATTTTTACTACCCCTAATATCTCTTTGTTTCAATGCATTTTATAATAAAACAACAAAAGTTGTACGGTTTCAAAGGAACTATAAAATAGTACCATTAGTGTTGACCTTGCACAGTCATAAAGATTACGTGAAAGTCACTATCACATGATAAGTTATAAAGTTTCAACATTGCAATATCGCTTCTGAGAATTTTGCGCACATGCAAACTGCATCTGGGGTAAAATATTTTGTACAGTTATCAGCAAACGAATAGATCGCCTGTGGAATTATTTTTTAAAACAACCAGCACACGAATAGATCGCCTCTGGAATTATTTTTTAAAACAACCAGCACACGAATAGATCGCCTCTGGAATTATTTTTTAAAACAACCAGCACACGAATAGATCGCCTCTGGAATTATTTTTTAAAATAACCAGCACACGAATAGATCGCCTCTGGAATTATTTTTTAAAACAACCAGCACACGAATAGATCGCCTCTGGAATTATTTTTTAAAACAACCAGCACACGAATAGATCGTCTCTGGAATTATTTTTTAAAATAACCAGCACACGAATAGATCGCCTCTGGAATTATTTTTTAAAACAACCAGCACACGAATAGATCGCCTCTGGAATTACAGTTTTAAAACAACCAGCACACGAATAGATCGCCTCTGGAATTACAGTTTTAAAACAACCAGCACACGAATCGATCGCCTCTGGAATTACAGTTTTAAAACAACCAGCACACGAATAGATCGCCTCTGGAATTACAGTTTTAAAACAACCAGCACACGATTAGATCGCCTCTGGAATTATTTTTTAAAACAACCAGCACACGAATAGATCGCCTCTGGAATTATTTTTTAAACCAGCACACGAATAGACCGCCTCTGGCACTAACTACTATAAAAACTATAATAATAATTATCAATTAATGAAAAAATAAACAAAGGATTGCATTATCACATGAAAAAATAAACAAAGGATTGCATTATCTTTCAGATAAAAAAAATTGAGAATTGCATTTTAATAAAAAAAAATTAAAATAAAAATTAAAAATAAAAATAAAAATTGCATTTTAAACGTCTATTTGAATGTTCTTATAAAATTACACCTACATACATACATACATACAAATATATATATATATGTATATATATATATTTATATACAGGGTAAGCCATTTTAATCTTTGCACTAAAATTTCTCAAAATTCAAAAGTTTAAGACAAAAATGTTTCAGATAAAAGTTGTATGGTTTCAAGGGGGACATAAGATGGTGTCATTGATTTGACCTTGAATAGCCATTTGAAGGTTACGTGACGGTCAACTTCAATTTCTTAAATGGAACATTATATTTTTTCTTGCATACTTTTATAGCTGACTTTAAGATCTTTCCAAAACACTACAATAAAATATTTTTTCATTAAGTATTTTTCGAGTTATAAGGCTGCAAATTTGCAGTATTTTGACATAAAATACAAAATATCTTGGGAAATATTCATTTTTCGATTATCATACCTTAATACTTTTATGCACAGAATAATGAGACGAATCAATTGGTGTAAAGAAAACACATAGTTGTCTTAAAGAAAAATTATCTAACTGCTTATTGCAATTTTCATATTTTTTTTAAAGGTAAATATGTGTTTTCTTTACACCAACTATATATATCAATATATATGTATCAATATATATATATATATATATTAATACGATGTTCAGCATAACAATACGTACGATTTTTGAAATGTTTGCAACAGTTTAGAAAAAAATATATATTGTAAAAATTGATCTGTTTTGTGCAATCTATTACAAGCAATAAAAAATGAGGAAAAAAAATTTTTATAAAAAAAATTAGTGTTACCTTGAATTTTTTTTAATAAAATCATATTTTTTTATATAAATCGATTCTCAATATTCTGCATAAGTTGTAATGTAGGATGGCCAAAAAAAGCGAATAGCTTATGAGATATATTATACTTTCATAATGTACATAAACTATGAAATATCTCATGAAATCATTTTCTGATTATTTTATTCCAATTTTAAATCAATTGGTGTAAAGAAAACACAGATATAAATAAAGATATAAATTGTAAACCAGCAGCTACATATTTTCTCTAAAACTCAAATATCTCGTAAACTTTTCACTTTTTCACAATTTTATCTTTATAATTTTTGATGCAGAATATTGTAACAAATTGATTTAGATTAAATATGATGCTTTTATTTTAAAAAAAATTATGACATTCATTTTTTCATGAAAACATTTTTTTTTTAATTTTTCTGTTACGTAATAGCTTTGAAACAAATTCATTTGTACAATATAAATTTTTTAATTATCAGAAACGTCTCAAATATCATGCGCACTATTATATATATATATATATATATATATATATATATATATATATATATATATAATACATACAGCATACATAATACTGTTACATACAGCACAAATACACAAAATATTACATACCTATTTATTATGCACATAAATGTATATAACGATTAGATAGACAAAAAAAAGAAATAGAAGAAAAAAGAAATAAATAGAAAGAGAGCGAACGAGTGAGCCTTTTTATAAACGTCGACAAGCAATATATTATTATGTATGTATACATGTATGTGTGTATGTATATATACATATATATATTGCTTTATGATATATATTTATAATGTAAAGAGGCTAGAGAACTCATACTCACTATCTTTCTCTTTTTTTTTCTTCAGCTTTCTGTATCTGTTAATTTATTCATTATATCCATGTATGTGTATAACAAATAGATGTATATAATTAATGTTTATTTGTACTGTTTATAATGTTATATATATATATATATATATATATATATATATATATTTCTTTTTCTTTTTGTCTATCTAATCGTTATATACATTTATGTGCATAATAAATAGGTATGTAATATTTTGTGTATTTGTGCTGTATGTAACAGTAATTCTGATATTGAATCAATTTTATGATATGACATAATACTAACCTTTTAAAACATGCTCCCTTTCTACTCAATCTGCGACCAGATAGGGGCAAACGTTTATTTTTGTTTGCACCCATTATACACTATATATTTAATAAATATAAAAATATCACTTTTAAAATATCACAGTATGTCTATCTATCACAATATTCGACACGTTATCACACGTTATAACGGTCGAGTCGCGCACTGCGTGTAAGCACGTATAGTACGTACCGCGTGACAAGTGAACCATCCCGCGCAAATATAT